TATTATTCCTTTGGTATATTTTCAAATATCATGTGTTTTGAATTAAAAATTAAATTATAAAAACATAAACAGAATATCGGTGTTAGGTGTTAAACAAATTCGTTCCGCAGACGCTAATAACGACTTTATGGCTGAACAAATTTAATGTTTAAGAAAAACTGCAATAACACGTTTTAATAATTTTCTGTAATGATCCTAGGAACATTAGGTCACAGTCATGAAATTATGTAGGTCTGCAAATTTTCAGATTATTCAGACGTCCGGTAGTGCATGAAAACTGAATTATAAATACTAAATTACATTTATATCATACATACGCAGGTCAAGCTAATATAAGCATTTTAAAAACTAAATTAGGTCCATTTTAAATTAACTAATCTTAATAGTATCTGAATTACTTGCTCCTTTCATTTCTAAAGTAATGGCGCTATCGGCTTGAAAGTTAAGCAATTAACGCCTTAGATTTACGTACTTTAACAACGATTTGCACTATTGCATAATTTTCGACTTCGAAATTTAAGTAGGTACTGTTAATTACATAAAAAATTGCCTATATTAACGCTATCAGTGCGATACAAGCAATTAATTGTCCGATCTGATACGCATGTCCAATCTCTGCGATCGGCCGATCATGATTGATGGTGTTTTATGTTATTACTAAAGCCCCCTTATTCAAACTTATCAGTGATGTCCGTGACGAGGGAAGACTCATTTCGCTAATGCGGTTGACATCGCGTCTGAAGTACGTAGATAACAACGTTAAAGAAGCCATTTTGAGGCATTAATACAGTTTCGATGGATCAAAGGATCCATTACAGAATTATTAAGGTCTTACTTTATGATGTTGTGTCGACGTGGTGACATTATATTATTTTGTTTCGAATTATACTTATGTATCTAATGTTACAATTATTAATCTTAAAAGTAAAAATCATTGCAAAATTTAAGCCACTTATGGCCACAAACTTGATGTTTTAATACCATTAGTGTTTGTAAAAATTAGATATTATTTGAGGCTTTTGTTTAATAGTTGATTGTTACTTGTTTTGAATTCCCATTTGAAGTCCAAATTTTAATATATCACGAAGTTTTGAGATCGTGAGTCGGAAAGAGGTATCTAGATAAGTATAGATGTAATACTGAAAGCAATGAAAAGCAGGTAGCTGGGTATGATAAAGTATCATTAGAAATGCTAAGGCCTGTAGAGTCTATTTCTTAAATGTATATTGAGAACTAAATCGTGTACCAGGAGACTAGTACAAAGCCATTATAGTCCCACTATAGTAGGGAAAGTGGTCACAACAGAACTGCAACTATCGTGGATCAGCTTGCAGCTTATAGTGCTCAGCATTCTCAAAAAAAAAAACTATATGGTAATTGTGTCGAAAGAAAATGTTACGAATACGGTTATTTTTATAAGAACTCTATTGCTTGTGACAGGAACAACGGGGCATACATGGATTGATTTGTCACCCATGAACAGGGTTGCGTGGCTTCCCCGTGGCTTTTTAATCCGTTAATACAATTGTTTCGGAACTTTGAAAGTCGAAGAATTTGGGCTAAAATGGGTAAGGCAGCTGTCATATGCTCATATGCCTCTTGTACGCTAAGGATCAAGTCATATTTGCGTCGTTAGTAGCGAGTTACAAATGATGCTTACATTAATAAGCATATCATTAAAAGTCAGGAAGAGTGAACGCATATAAGATGAAAGTGAAAGGGTTTCGTTTTTGAAAGGGAAGAAAGTAAAATAATGTGTAAAATAAGAATAAAAGGAGAGTTGGTCGAGCAAATAGATGAGTTCGAGTATTTGGGAAGTACGTTAAACGGGGATGGTAGACATGACAATAATACAAAAGGAAAAGTGAAGTGTAGGACACACTGTTAATGTAAATCAATGCTATAGAAATGTAGTCATTAAGATGTGATTAGAGAAAAGTGTGGTTTAAAAAAAAGGGGTTGTGACCTGAATTAAGAAATGTTTCGATGGTTTGAGCTTGTAAGTGGTAAGAAAAGTGTGACAAACCAAACTTATGCTGCAGAAGTAAGTGACCGAGTGGGCAAGAAACGCCTTAGATGAAAGTTTATATCGACCAAATTGACAATATATTGCAGATGGTCCAAGTTAAGAGTATCCCCTAGCATGTACGAGCATGTATTCATTATGGTTATAGTTTTGAGACTCTAGAGTTTAGAGTATTTATGCCAGAGATTATCAAACCTATTTCTTTTACCGCCCCCTTTGAAAATCAATTATTATCAGCGCCCCCAATTTTTTATACATTCTTAAAATACCATGCTTAAAAAAACACACAATTTCATTACTTTAATTAATTTAGTTATGGTGTGCTGTATTCTGTATAGTCGGTTCTAGTGTTTAAACTTACATTCTAAACTAGACATTATTACCCACTGGTAATAATGTCTAGTTTAGAATATTGCTCTCACTGAGCAATAAAATAAAAATAAAACGGAACTTTATAATATTAAGAATATAATATTTTAATCAAATTTAAAGAAATAATATAGATAGGTAATAATTTTTTATTGTAAAACTGATCTAATTGCGATGGATGAATTTGATAATTTTTAACAAGATTGTTGATCAGGTTCGATTTTACTCAAAATCAGTCGTAAATCGCCGAATTCGGTAACATGCAAACGACTTCTTTTTTTTAGTAAGCAGTGTTGTCACAGCGCTAAATCCACGTTCACACAAATATGACGATAGGAATGCTATCAAAAATCGTTGAACGATCGACCACAATCCAAAATACAACTGCGGGATTGACTTTTGTAGCCAAAATTCTTGGTAGCCATTTTTGAATTTGATTTTTATTTGTTCGTTCGTTATCAGTTCCATAAGTTCTCTTTCCAATTGGGGTGATACTGCTATTTTGATATTTGAAAAAGGATCTAACACCGAGTCTGGTATTTCCAATTTCAAAATGTCCTGGAATCTTTCAATGAAATCACTAGAGATTTTCCAAATGTTGGCAGTAGTCAAGCAAGTTGTATCTCCTTGCACAACTACTAACAAACATTTTAAAATTACAAGTGGCTAACGAGAACATTATTGTAATATAAACAGCCGTTACTGTTTTTTTTAAACTATCCAAATTCCCAAACCCTTTCCGTATATAAACTGGTGACGAAGAACAGTATAACAAGTGCAAAGATATATTAGGTACTCTGCGCTCACTAACCTGTTTGCTAATGCTTAACAAGTATAGAATGAGAAAATATTTTATAATACTAATATGGATTTATAGCAATGCAATAAAACATATAATACGAATACACGAAAACACTAATTTATTAGGACATTTCACGTGATGTAAGCCTATATCAATGCCAATATATTGCTGTAGTTGTATTGAGGTGCGAACTCTCGCACGAACCGACCTTGTGAACAAACAGGCTTCATAACGGATACGTATATTTTATCTAATCATGGCACCGTACAAATTCGTAATGTCTCATGATTGTGCGCGGTAGACCCTAGCTAACATCATGATTGCCGCATCGTAATGCAGATAAAATTAAATTTAAAAAAAACCGTATTCTGCTTTTGTATAGTCACGTCATAGTTATACCAGTTATACAGTATGACCTAGCATCGACTGACTTAATACTAGAAAAACATAGATAAGCGCTTCTCAACATGTTGACGAGTATTGTAAATATGTGCACACAATCCTTATAACTTCTAGTTCGTAACTAACTAGTGTTTCACCCCCGTGATTCGAAAAGCACGTAAGGCCGTTGGTCCTGCGTCTAATTTCCTTCCGTAATCTGTTCTCTTCGGTCTTATCGGATGTCCGTCCAATCGGACTACGAAATGAGGGAATTCGGAGTGCTTGATGACCTGTTACGTACCTACACACTCGTGCACAATATTCCTGTTCCGGGCAGATGGCTAGTTAGTCTCCGTTTGGACCGGCCGTCGTGAACGCAATTCTGTCTGGAAGGCATTATTTTTTATAGTTTTCACATTTAATAAAACTATTCGAAATAAGTTAAATTAATCGCGATAAATTCCGTAAAATTAGTTTTATTCACTACTAGCTGTTCCCCGCGACTTCGCACGCGTGTAATTTAGGGTTTTTTTGCGAACCCTTATTTTATTTATCTAAAACAAAAATAGCCTAAGTTACTCCTTATAACATCAGCTAACTGCCAGTGAAAAAATGCTGTTATTTGGACATTACAAACAGACATTTCAATTTTATTTATGTGTATAGAATAGATTTTTCTTTCATCTTGTCCATCAAGCCGTAGCAATTCATTGTTATCTCCTCCAGCTCCATCGTTAGTCTGGATATGTCACATCTGGCATAATATAAGAGCTTGTATTTATAATATTAATACTATAATTATTTATTAATTAATTTATAATATTGATACTAGGAATTTCTCCAGTATTGGTTTACATACAAATACTGCACTTGGAGAATCACCCAGATTCGGTACAATAATTTCTAAGGTGTTCCAATACTTGTTTCACATGGGTGGGAATGGAAACCGCGACTCGCAGACCCGCAGCGAAACGCTTAGCTGCTGTGGGACCGACCGAATAATCATGACTTTCTGGCAATTCCCGTAATCGTCTCTTACCATAGCCATTAGGCAAAATTCCGTGATGAATTTATTCTCATTATTTAATCGGTAGTACACACAAATATTTTTTTATTCGTTAGGATCTGTAAAAGTCCATTGCTAGTCATGAGCCTCATGGGATTTGCCTTAATCGTCACACTTAGGATTGACGATCTTATGAATGTTTATATAACACAGCCCACCAAGCACAGACGCTGCGGCCCATATACATCTCTTCTACATCTACCTATCCTCGATTAAAAATCTGTAACGGTGTGCTCACCTACCCGCATTGCGCGCGAACATTTGTAAATAAGATCGGCTATGTTAGCCATGCACGAGCACACCAAAGACAAAGACGAACTTTATACCAGGTTGATTTATCCATTGCAGTGGGCGGGATGTCGCGCGGCGGCAGCGGCGCCGGCAAGGCGGCGACCGCGAAGCGCGTGCCGCCGCCGGCCGTGCCAGGCGACGCGTTCGCCACCCCGCAGCACCGCCACTCGGGCTCCAGCTTCGGCTCGCAGGGGTACGCCTCCTGCGAGGAGCAGCCTTACCCGCAGCCGCCGGACACGCCGTCTCATACAAGAGGTGAATTTTTTTCTTCTTCTTTTTTATAGAATAAGGAATACAAACGAACACACAATCCACCTGATGGCAAGTAGATGGTGTGGCCCATAAACATTTACATCTATTCTTAATTGAGAATACAGATGCATTGTCACCCCGGAGGAATAAGATGGAATGTCTTGTTTCCAGTGATTTAGGTCGCCGGATCTCTACACTCACCATAAGAAACACAGCAGCATTAACTTGGTATTCTGTGAGAGCATGGTACTTCCCTGGTCGAGCCGATCCATTCGTGCTACAACCATGGTATAGCTGCAGCATGGCACTAACACGTTTAATCCTCAAATAAAAGTTATTCATAGGATAAAAACAAAAAGAAATTTAAACACATTTTAACAGTGGTGGAGCCACGCGGCAGCTTTGCTGTTGGACGTATGGGCCGGCTCAAACCGGGGTGGTACCACGACCTCACAGAATACCGGCGTGAAGTGGAAGCTCTGCTTCCGCGTTTCGTCTGGTGAGTGCAGGTGGCCGGAGGCCCAAATCCCCCCCCCCCCATCAACATGGTAGCGGAATTAAATAATGATCGACTACCCCAGGAGGGTACCAGCACCCCTGGAGAATCCCTCGCTGAGCATCCACGACCATGTTTCTCCACTTCTGAGCGTGGGTGCTCAGGCTGCCCCGCGGCAAAATTCCGCTCAAGACTACAACTGCTCGGGGCAAACGGAGCAACAAGACCAAGGCGACCCCTGCCACGCTGTCCGTGAATTTCTGTAATATCAGGGGACTTCACTCTAACCTAAACGCCGTCCACTACCATGACCTCGAGACGCCGAGGCCGGCTCTGCTCTTTCTGACCGAGACACAGGTGTCGTCTACGGCTGATGTCTCGTGTCTCTCCTACCCGGGGTACAAACTGGAACACTCCTTTGTGCCTCGGGCTGGAGTTTGCGTTTACGTCAGAGAGGACATCTGCTCTCGACGCCTCGGCAGACTTGAAGGTTCGGACCTGTCCATCCTTTGGCTACGCGTAGACAGCGACGACCATCCGCGCGTCTACGGGTGCCTCTATAGGTCCCATAGCGGTAATATGAAACCGAAACCGAAACAGACCGACTATTCGACCACGTCCAAATGGCTGCAGATTCGTTGCTACAGCAGATCCCCTCCGCAGAGATCGTGATCCTCGGCGACTTTAACGCCCATCACGCCGAATGGCTTGGTTCACGTTTAACCGATCATGCGGGGTGATCTGTTCATGATTTTGCCTTGGCATATGGTCTGACACAACTGGTTACTTCGCCTACGCGGATTCCAGATGTGGAGGATCATGCACCTTCCCTGTTGGACCTTCTGCTGACCTCTCACCCGGACGGATATCAGATTTCCGTCGACGCCCCTTTAGGCTCCTCGGACCATTGTCTGGTCCGGAGTGTGGTGCCACTCACGCTGAAATCGCGGTTGCATTCTGCAGGCTGCCGCCGTGTTTGGCACTATAGGTCAGCCGATTGGGATGGGATGCGGTCTTTCTTTGCATCCTACCCTTGGGGGCGGGTTTGCTTCTCGCCGGATGATCCCAACGTTGTTGCGGATTCTGTCGCTGATGTGGTACTTCCAGGGTATGGAACTTTTTATTCCTTCCTCTGTGGTGCCCATTGGAGGCAAGTCTCAGCCATGGTTTGGTCGCTCCTGTAAAATAGCATCATGCTATAAGCAGGAGTGCTACCAAGCCTGGGCTGATGCATCAGCGTCCCGGGATGTAAACACCAGCGCTCTAAAAAAGAAGTATAATTCCGCCTCTAGGTCCTTCAAAAGAGTCATTGCCAAGGCAAATCAAGCACATAAAAAGAGTTCGCCTTCCTTCTGGAACCCGTGCATTCTGGTCTCTCGCCAAGGCTGTCCAGGGGAATTTCTGTCAGCCATCTCTTCCATCTCTGCACAGGGAGGACGACTCACTGGCCCATACCGCAAAGGAGAAAGCCGATCTTCTAGGCTCTTTCTTTGCGTCTAACTCGACTCTCGATGACGGGGGGAGTACTCCGCCGACCATCCCGCGGTGTGAGTGCTCCATGCCGGAAGTGCACTTCACACAGCGCTCGGTTCGCAAAGCACTCCTCTCCCTGGACATCCACAAGTCGAGTGGGCCTGACGGAATCCCCCCAATTGTGCTGAGGACGTGTGCTCCAGAGTTGGCACCGGTTTTAACGCGTCTTTTCCGGTACTCCTACTCCCTAGGCGTAGTCCCAAAATCATGGAAGACGGCTTACGTCCACCCGATCCCTAAAAAAGGCGACCGCTCTGACCCGTCCAACTACCGGCCAATCGCCATCACCTCCTTGTTCTCCAAAACAATGGAGTCCATTGTAAACTGCCAGCTCATGAGGTACCTTGAAGATCACCAGCTGATTAGTGACCGCCAATACGGTTTTCGCCGTGGTCGGTCAGCTGGTGATCTTCTGGTCTACCTAACTCACAGATGGGCGGAGGCAGTAGAGTTCAAGGGGGAGGCATTGGCCGTTAGTTTGGACATTGCGAATGCCTTCGATCGGGTTTGGCACAAAGCGCTTCTTTCGAAGCTCCCTTCCTATGGGCTTCCAGAGAAATTGTGCGATTGGATCACCAGCTTTCTTGCAGATCGGAGCATCAAGGTCGTTGTAGACGGTGCAAGCTCCGATTGCAAGCCTATTAATGCTGGTGTTCCACAGGGCTGCGTGCTATCGCCAACGCTGTTTCTTCTGCATATCAATGACATGTTGCATACCCGTAACATTCATTGCTATGCAGATGACATCACTGGTGATGCTCTTTACACCGGCCGAGCCAATATTTCTCGGGAAAACGTATCCGAGTGCCGGGACAAACTTGTGTCTGAAGTCGAGTCTCTGCTGGACAGAGTCTCGGATTGGGGGCGACTAAATATAGTCCAGTTTAACCCCCAGAAGACACAAGTTTGCGCGTTAACCGCTAAAAAGAACCCCTTTGTCGTATCCCCTCAGTTTCAAGGCACTCCCCTCGGCCTCGGTCAGTATCGGAATCCTCGGCGTCGACATATCGAGTGACGTGCAGTTTCGTGGTCACTTGGAAGGGAAGGCCAAATTAGCCTCTAAAAAGCTTGGCGTGCTCAGCAGAGCGGGACAGTATTTCATGCCGGCACACCGCCTGCAACTTTACAAGGCGCAGGTTCGGCCGCACATGGAATACTGTTCCCATCTCTGGGCTGGGGCTCCCCAGTACCAGCTTCTTCCACTTGACCGCATCCAGCGCAGAGCGGCTCGAATCGTCGACGACCGAGTGCTTTCCGACCGGCTCGATTCACTGGCGCTGCGAAGAGATGTTGCATCTCTTTGCGTATTTTATCGCATCTATCACGGGGAGTGCTCTGAGGAATTGTTCGGATTAATCCCAGCCGCCAAATTTCGTGAACGCACTACACGTCAAACGTCCCGATACCATCCACACCATCTGGATGCTTGGCGGTCCACCACTGTACGTTTCACAAGGAGTTTTCTTCCACGTACAACCTCTCTGTGGAATAGTTTACCACCGGCGATTTTTCCGGACCGATACGACCTGGGGACCTTCAAGAAAAGAGCTTACTCCTTTCTAAAGGGCCGGCAACGCACCCGCAATTCTCCTGGTGTTGCGGTTGATCATGGGCGGCGGTAGTCACTTAACATCAGGTGAGCCGCATGCTCGTTTGCCCCTTCTTCTATAAAAAAAAAACTACAGTTGTATGAACAAAATAGTTCAATTGTTACATTTTTATACTGAGCCAGGTTATGACTTTTTTCGATATATCACTTTTATCTTACGAATGAAAAATCGACCAACTAGTCACGGCCTTACCCATGAAAATCGATGTCAATCTAATGGTGGCCACACACGGTCAGTTCAACTGATCATTCCAACTGATCAGTTCAAACTAAAACTGTTGTTATTTTTTAAAATATCGGATTTTCGATTTTAAAGATTTAGTAGCATGTCCAGGATAAATAAAAAATAAAATGATAGTAAAAAAAAAAAACAATTTTAAACATAAACATTTATTTAAAAATACGAAAATAAACTTTAAATTAAATGAAACCCATCAATTTATTACATTACAAAATTTATATGATATAAAAGCTTGTAATTTTGTATGTATATTAAAAGAAACGTATTTTGCTACAGATGACCACTCAGACTATGGCAGCACTGTATCGGGAGTGTCCGGGGCGAGCAGCAGTTTGGGCAAAAGCCCGGCTGGTGGCGGAACGTTCACATTTCCCCCACCATCGCAGCCGCTTACACATAAAGCTGCCGTATACTACCATCATCAATTGGCACTGAGCGATGATCAAGGGATTGACATGACACAGGTAGGTAGACCATTAGCTTTTTTCGTGATATCTTAATACTGCGATTGAATATCGGAGGAATCGTGGTATTAGACCATAGACATCTATATCTATCCTAGATAGATGTAGATGTCTATGGTATGTATCCTATATAGATGTATTAACACCCCCGAGGACTAAGATGGAATGCCTCATTTCCATTAAAAGGGTTTCCGGTTCTATACACTCACCATACGAAACACAGAAGCATTAAGCTGCTTTTTTACGCTGATATTCTGTAAGAGGGTGGTCCTTCCCCGGCCGTAAACATAGTAATAATAGATTTATAATAGAGCTACACAATCGCACTAGGGCCCTGCTCTCATTATTTTTCACGAGAGTATGGAGATGAAAATGTTCCGCCGCGAAAAAGAATCATTGTCACCCCTGAGGACTAAGGTGGAATGTCTTGCTACCAATAAAAGGGGTTGCCGGTTCTCATTATTCACCACGGAAACATGATACTCTGCGTATGTCCACTGCTGGATATGCTATGATTTACGGCTTCACGTATCCTGTTCCTACCAGCCACCTTGCGCAGATCGTCGTTTCATCTATCCAGGGGACGTCCCACTTGACGCAAGCACTTTCAATTGTTAATAACAATCCAGTTCCCGGGGCTCGAATTATATTATAAAATTTATGTTAAGTGCTTGCTAATCTAGTTAGAAACAAACCACAGTAAGATGGATTTAGAAAAACATAATCACTAAGAAGTTTTGCCCATAAAACGAAAAGTTTTCTGTACATTTATGAACTTAGAAAGGGCTTATGACAGAGTGTACAGGGTTTGTTGTAGTAAACACTGGACTCGATTGGGTTGAGCGCTAGGCTGATACAGGCGTTAAAATATTTTTACTGGAATCCAGTGTGTGTGTTAGGATCAATGGGGCCTACTCAGACCGGTGTGGCATCATAAAGGTGTCAGGCAAGGTTGTCTAGCTTTCCCCTGGCTGTTCAAAAATTGAATTCCGTAGTCTTTGCACTACCCCTATGGATAACAGGCATGTTACTTATGTTATGTTGTGTTAGTTTAGGTTAGTTGTATAACATGGTATTGAATGTATTGTTGTGCAGAGTCCGGGTCGAGACAGCCCGGGCTCGTCGTCAGGGTCCGCGGGTTCGGGGTCGCGGCACTCGTCCGCGTCGCTGGACAGCGGACGCGCGTCGGGCCGCCTGCCGCACCACCACCACGCGCCCTGCCACTGCGGCGACGCCGACACACTGCGCGCGATGATCGCACAGGGCCTGCCAGTGAGTTTTCTTTTTTTTTTTTGTTTTCTTAATGGTCTCTTACGGTTGTACTTTTGCCAGTGTCAAATAAAAGGAAATTATCCTTTGATATTATTTATTCAAAAACTTCCCCACAGTATTTTGATGCATCACATACTACAAATAAATCCAACAGACGGTTAATGACGACTATTCCCCATGTTTTTAAGCCGTCTAAACGGACAAAATCATGGTTTTTATTGAATAATGGTGACAAACGAGAACACAGTCCACCTGATGGTAAGTGATTGCTGTGGCCCATAGACATCTACATTTATCCTCGATAAAGAATCAAATGCAGATGCGTTGTCCCTCCTGAGGACTAATGCCTTGTTTCCAGTTAAAAAGGGGCTCCAGTTCTCTCCATTTACACAGTACAGCAGCATTGAGCTGCTATTTTACGCTGGTATTCTGTTAGAGCGTGGTACTTCTCCGGTAGAGCCAAACCCATTCGTGTTGCAATCGTAATATAGCTGCATATACCTGCTGACAGGTTCTACCACGTCTAATGGTTGAACTTGAACTGATTTTGGTGAAACTTCGCGAACGGATAGAAAGTAATACCAGGAGTTATCTAGGCTATATTATAGGTTTTTTTTTTGTAAAATCGATAAGCTGGAACAGTAAATGGTTTTTGATGATTACATATCTATAAAACAGAAGATAATAAAAAAGTTTGGAACTAAACTGTATAGGTTTACAATTTTACACAAAAACAATATTTCTCACACTTTCTCTTCTATCTTGTAAAGTTTGGGTGCAAAATGGATTTTTAAATTTTTTTATTTAAACACCATTTCACAACAAAAGTATGATTAGAGTTAAAAGATAAAGTGATACGACCTTTTTTACGTGAAATTAACAGCTCGCTCTTCTTTATCGAGCCCTATTTAATCCATTTGTTTTAGACCTGAAGCGTGCTCGAATAATAAAAGTATGGTATCCATACCATAAAGATCAAGGATCAATTTCGTATGAAGTTCATGACGTATCTTTAATTCTTTTTCTACCTTTCCAGGACTCGGACATAATTCACGCGTGGCTGGCCGACATCCAAATGGAGGAGTATGCGAGGCTGTTCATAGAAGCGGGCTACGATTTGCCCACAGTCACCAGGATGACGCCAGAGGACCTCACAGCCGTCGGCATTAAGAAACCGAACCACCGCAAGCGGTTAAAGGCCGAACTGGCGAACTTGAACGTACCGGACAACTTGCCGGATTATATACCGGTGAGTATCCGAATTGGCTTTACTTATTAAGCTTTTACTACTTAAATGTCTTAATTAGGACATCGTGTTACGTTTAAGTCACTTCTAATCATTACTACTTCAAGTTGATATTGCCTATGGATACAGCAGCGAAGTCGTCTTCATTCGGAAAAAAGAAAGCATAATAGATAATTTATTAAATATCTCCGCTGGAATTTTCACCGTGGTAGAAAATTTGACTTACGGTAGCAGTGTAAGAGTATCGAATTTCTTATTTCGTCCCGTAGATGTAGTAACAGGCGACTATGGGAAATGCCAAAGAATTTTATGGCTTTCGTTTGATGGTGGTAATAATAATAATAATGTCTTCCAGACCGAATTTCGGTCACGGCGACCAGTGTCAAGGATAAATATTGGATGTCTATGGGCCACAGCATCCATTTACCATCAGGTGGACTGTATGCTCGTTTGATACTCTTATTCTATAAATAAAAAATATTACCCAAGTGTACTCGTATATGCAAGCACAAGTGCAATCTCATAGTCCGATGGGATGAGATAAGGTGCAGGACCAATGGCTTTACGTGCTTTCCGAGGCACGGAAGACTCACGGGAGAGTGAGACACCGCCAACTAACTGACTCCAGGCCGCTGCTGAGAATTTCTTCACGGAAAACCTCAGTAACAAATTTTTTTCCCGACTCGGGATTTGAACATGAGACCTCTTGATTAGCAGGCGCGTTTACAACCACTAGAACAACGAGGCAGTTGGCGGTATAACGTAAACAAATAACGTTTACGTAAGACGTTATATACGCAAACGGACATCGGGCAGCATCGTTAGACACGCCACATCTAACTGCGATCATCCGCCTGCCAAGCGTGATGATCAAGGCAAATCCACCCTACAAAGGGAGGAGTCCAGGTACGGCAGTGGATACACAGGCACGACAACGTGGTAGAGCCATGCTGCAGTTATATTAGTAGTATAGTTGTAGCACGAATGGGTCGGCTCGACCGGGGAAGGACCACGCTCTCACAGAATACCAGCGTGAAATAGTAGCTTAATGCTGCTATGTTTCGTATAGTGAGTGTAGAGAACCGGAGACCCTTTTTACTGGAAACGAGGCATTCCATCTTAGTCCTCACGGGTGAGAACGCATCTGAATTTTGATTCGTAATCGAGGATAGATGTATGTAGATGTCTATGGGCCACAGCAACCACTTACCATTAGGTAAACTGTGGGCTCGTTTGTCACCCTATCCTATAAAAAATATAAACGAAAGATAAACAATCACAAGACAAGTTTTTTGTATATGCAACTTAAAATAGTGTTCACTAAAAATTAATTATCCTCTTTTTGTTTTCAGGGTTCGTTGGAAGAATGGTTGCGACTCCTGCGGCTCGAAGAGTACGGACCAGCGCTAGTTGCTCAGGGATATCGCACGGTACACGACGTCACGCAGTTAGCATGGGAGGTAAGTGCTTTTTTTGACTTCATACTTGATGTATTTGTTTTACGTCATTATTTGGTCAGGTCATAAAAAATAAATATTAAAAAAAATCTTCAAATCTAGATATAGGTCTCACATAAAAGACCATAATGAACATTGCGGGAAAATTAATTTAGCGCGAAAAATCTCGCCGTTCTTTAAACGTCTCCACACAAGGTCATTTTTAGATCTCCGTGCTTCAAATCTTGTAGGATCACTTTGCTGTCCGACCGTCAGTCAGTACGTATATCACGATCTTTTTTCTCAGGAGAGAATAAAGGTATCAAGTTAAAGTTAGTAATAATAGTTAAAATTAGTAATAGTATAGTAGTAATATAGTAGTAATATCAAATACTAAGAATTACCGCCCCTTGGAAGTTTAATTACAAACACAATCATATGATACGGCTATTTTTTGTCACATATTTTTTTACTCGCAAACTCAATCATCAAAATCCGTACCTATGGTACTTCCTATTAAAGTCATATCATGAAATTAGGTAAGATGCAAGATCTTACAGCACATTCCAATAATCGTTAATTTGTGGGGTTGTATTACATAAAAAATATTTTTTTTTTGCAATTTCATGGAGTTAGAGCATCAGCCATGATATGGACCCGATGTATGGAAAAACTATTTTTTCTGTAAAACTGACCTCAGACTCAAGTCCTTCAATCCAACTTACCTTTTCATTAGAGCCGTGTTTTTTCTCACATAAATATACAGAACCCCCTCCCCCCGGTTGCGTGTCCCACCCGCACTTGTCCGGTTTTTCCTAATATATTTTCACTTTTACCAACTTCTAGAAAACATCTTATTATTACTTTAAACATATAAAATTCTTTTATATTCTTTACAGGATTTAGAAGATATGGGAATAGTCCGCCTTGGCCACCAAAAGAAAATTCTTTTAGCTATAAAAAGAGTTAAAGACATCAGAGCAGGAAAAAGAAGCATTAGCAGCCAGGGATCGCTTGACTTCACAAGATTACAACCGGGACAGGTCTGTACAATAATATCACTTGAAGTATTATATTTGTTTGTAGTGATGTTTTAGAACTAGTCTCTTTATAGTCAATACCTATGAAAACGAATAATTTATAAACCCCTATAACTTTTGTTTTTATCTAGTTATCAGAGATCCATCCCTTTTTATATGTAACCATTTCTTGCAATAGAAAATAAATTAGATTATTCATTATTTGTACTCCCTTTAAATTTAAAAACAAAGCATCACTTCAAAACAAAGCTATTATATTTATTAATTTTGATTTTGTTTTTTTTTTCACATTATTCATCAGCCATCATAAATTTATTTACCGCCAAAACGCCTCTCGCATTACTCATTCATTTTCCTAACAAAATCTAGTTTTTCTTGACTTTTGCATTACTTCTAGTGCTATACAAATAACATATCCTTATTTAATTTTTACTAATTACGTCTAATTTTAATAACTAAATATTCTAACTAGCTCTAAACATTAATTTCCCATGTTGAAATTCACATTTATAAATCTTAGCTCGAGCCCAAATAAGGCTTTAGTTGTTTGTTCAATGTTTAAAAATATAGCACAAATTGCTAAACATTTTCTTTGCTGAGCCATTTGAACATTGCGGGAAAATGATTTTGGTGCGAAAAAAACTCGCCATTTAATAAAACGTCTCTGAAAATGAATTTTCCCGAGGAGTTCAACAGATCCGTTATAATTTCGCTTTGACTTAGAAGTCCATTTCCATTGCCATTTTTGTCGCTGAGGGTTTGTAGCAACTCTGCGATATAATTTATGCAGGTGTCGTGGCGCATCATACAATAAATGAAAACTATATAGTTACTAGTTTGGCAAAATTTCACGAAATAGTAAATATTGTTCTTATGTAAGTCAAAATTAAAAATAAGTTTATTATTATAAACATAATATTTTAATCAAATAAAAGTACATATTTGAAAGGAATTTACAACACGATGTACGTATAACGTAAATTGTATTTACCCTTAAAAACGGCAACATCGCTATTTTATTTTGCATTCTATTAATTCCATCGACCCCGTCGAATAGTGAAAAGTGATTTATTACATGATTTAATGTGAATAAAATAAATGAAATAAATTGAAACACCTGTATTTAAACTACTGAATGTCATTTGATTGTTTTTGTGTATTAACCGCGCGCAGAAAGTTTGCTGATGACGTCATAGCGTCATGTGTCGATGGTTAGTACCAAAGGTATTGATTATATTCTCTTTGGTTAGTACGATTGACAAAAAGAACATGTTACGAAAATAGTAGTTGCAAACGCATTAAATCAATAAAGGTAAAATTATTAATTAAAAATGTTGGATTTGTAACTAAGATTTATTATTATAGGCGACTACTATTTGTTCATCTTTCTCGAAAAACCTTTGAATCTTTAAATAATATCACGCTTACCACCGCTATAGGCTTTTCCTTTACTATTTCAATAAAATAACATAAAACAAACAAAAATTTTACATTAAAATAATGATTAATTTCGGAGCGACAACAATAAATTCAAAGACGTTGCACGAGAGCGCACGACTGATTTGCTAACGGTACTAACTAGGCAAGTGAGGGACGCGGTCGGTGGAGGCGAGAGGGGTAGTTACTGGAACTTTCTGCACGCGGTTTCGCACTATAAATAAAGCCGCCTAGAGTTAGTCTTATCATTTATTAAACGCCCAACGCCACCTGTATATATATTTGTGCCATGTAAATATTTTTATATTGTATTGTCAGTTATTAGTACCTTTTATGTGATGAATATCATGGATCGCAGAGTTGTCATCCTAAGCATTCCACCACATCCATCGCTGCATCCACCTCATACCAGTAGCCCGAAGCAGCATGTGAATGTTTTGTTTTCTTTTCTTTTTTCAAAAAACACCAAACCGCACATTGGACATTATCGGCTAAAGGATTTATATCCGAGGGAGCTACATTACCAGCCTTGGCAGAGGCACACGAGGAGTTACCATAAACCCCCCGATCTAAACTTTGACGCTCTACCAACGCCCGTTTGTGGCACAGACTTGGTTCCTATCCAGGTATGAGACAACATCCTTTGGCACAAGTCTTGTCAGTTTGATCTCGTTTGCACCCAAGCACCCGGCTTTTATGTGCACCCGTTTTATTTTATTTTTGTAATAGAAAATGCATTGTTATAGATGTTTTTGTCTAAATGAGTTTTGATGTTATTCAGATAGTAAAATATTACTTTAACATTTAGGTAATTAAAACCACTTTTGCCTGCACGGTAGATATTTAAAAATATATTTATACTTTTGTATAACCGTAACAGCTTTTCAAAGCATGATTTAATTGATAAGCTAACGATATAATGATTTTAATCGATTTAATAGAGTTTTTATTAATAAAGCATGAGAAGCAAAGTAAAATGTACTAAAATAAATTTTGAAGTTACTGTTCATTTTTCATGTTTTTACAAGTATATTCTTAGGTCATTTAATGTATTTCTTGACTTGAGTCAGTAATTAATAATTTCACGTACTGTATGTTCATAAGAAAAAAAAACATAAAAATAATAAAACATTCGCCACTATTCGCAACAGATACGTCACCCGCGCGGTAAATCATTGGAAAGTCTAGAAGATCCGTCCGAAAGGACATCGCATACGACGTTTTCGCCCGAAGCGGGCTTCTATTACGGTGGCGGCCAATGGAGACGATCGTACGACGACGGCGACATAACGCCGACCAACGACACATACGAAGGCGGAGGCACGTTGCCGCGGCCGCGGGGCCTCGTGCGTCCGCGGCCCGTCGCAAAAATACAAGCGACGCCGGCGTACAGAGATAAGTCCCCCGATTACACGTACGACGAGATCGCGTACTCGGCTCGCTTACAACGTGTTGCGTATGGAGCGAGTCCACACGTTGCCCGCAAGCCGCCCCCCGAGCCGCCGAAGCGCCAGAGCTCGCAGTACGCGCCGTTCACCCGGTTCGGGCAGACGACGGTGGAGATCCACCCGGAGAAGAGCCTGCCGCTGAGCCTGCCGGCCTACCCCAGCTCGGACTCGCTGAGCGTGTCGCTGGACAGCACGGGGCTGCTGCCGCCGCCGCCCGCGCCGCCCTCCCCGCCCGACGCGCCGCGCCGCTACGACGACGACAACATGCGGACGGGCTCCGACGCCAGCTTCAAGGTAATCAATCTATTTCATACAATTAGGTACATCCATTTTAACGAGGTGCTAAGCGCTCGAACTAAATTTCATTGTATTTTTTTAGACTTAGTGTGACAAACGAGCACACAGTCCACCTGATAGTAAGTGGATACTGTGGCCCATAAACATCTACATCTACCCTATATTACGAATCAAAATGCAAATGCGTTGTCACACCTGAGTACTAAAGCCTTTGTCACACACAGCAAATACTCGCTGCAAGTGTATTCGCTCCAAATAATACTTGCAGTGACTATTCGCTGCCTGCCTGTCACACACAGCGAGAATTTCGACAGTCTGTTGGTGCCCCAAATACAAATTTTTCGTCTTTCGTCGTACATCTTTAAAACAATGTATTCCGTTGGCATATGCAGAGTTAGCAAATCAAATACTCATTATTATTGAATGAGATACACAAGAAGCGAACATTTTTTAGGAAAAAAGCTTCTTTGAACCACATTAAGTGTGTTTTATAAATGTCCTCACATTCTTAGATTTCTTAATTTTATTTATCATTCCATTATCTGAAATAAATCTTTATCTTTTATATTCATAATTTTTCTTTTCAAATGCTCTTGAATTGCTATTTCGAATCCCGACTCAATCAATTCGTTAAACAACTTTATGAAGGTCTGCCTTGGTGTTTATAATTACTGTTATTTGTGTCACACAGCTTCTCACATTTTCTACACACACCAATAAATCGTAATTTCTCCACTTTATAGGAATATTTCTTGGTTGACTAATTGTATATATATATATACGATTCAACGTATTACGTACGTAAGACACACGTATCTACGCAGCGACGAAAAGACCTGTAGCACGGGCGCGTGTCGTCTAGATCGGCGCGCTGAGCAGGATGGCTACCCTGTCGTACATACAGCTAATTATCGCGACGACTAAAAATATTGTGTGGCAAGATTTTCATTTTTTAGTTTTACATTCCAAACATATTTTTTTATATGCTAATCGAGCATGCGGCTCACCTGATGGCAAGTGACTACCGCCCCCCATGAACAACTGCAATATCAGGGGAATTACAGATGCGTTGCCCCTTGGAAAAACCGGCAAGAAACCCAGCAGGATTTTTAAACATTAATTTACAATACGATATTATCTCAATACTATAAAATATAATGTGGATTGAACCACAAAGATTATATATAACTGAAGATAGAATCTCTTTTTTTTATTTGTTCATAATGTTATTTCTTTTTTGCAGTCAAGTTCGAGTACTGAATCGGACAGCATTCCTTTCGCAAACGAAAATGCTGGCACAATTAAACAGAATCGGGGTCAAATCGGCGGTCGACCACACACCATGGACTATGGACGAACAGCCATCGGCCTGTCTAGTCTTCCGCCTCGATCTGCAACTGACATAAAACCTTCGGCCAACCATTCACTCCCCGAGCACAAAGAGGAGGGAAAGAGTACGGAGCCAGTTGATGTTCTCAATGACATTGGAAACATGCTCGCCAATCTAACAGATGAATTAGACGCCATGTTGGAAGAAGAGAAACGTCAAGGTCTGACTGATTCCTAAAATAAACTTTTGTTTGATTATTTTGAAATAAAGTTGGTTTTTTTTTCAAACTCGAATTGATAAAATTTTAGTTAAGTAAGTTTTCTTTTATCAAAACAATAAATTCCAAAGAATCAAACTGCCAATTGATGGAAAATTAATGTCGGTAAATGTTTTTCAAGATTAGATTGGACTATGTACGCTTTTGGCATTACAAAGCATAGCCTTAGGTAAATAATTCACAATGTATTTTGTTAATGTACAGTTTTCATTACGATTGTTTATTAAGAGAAATATTCAAACGATAGGACTTATAATTTTTTTAATGATGTGACATTTTGTCAATAAATATTATACATGCAGGATTAATACAGTAGACTTGACTGCTATATGATTTTAGAAATACTTTTTTCAGTACATTCAATATTCACAAAATTAATAAAGTGCTGTGTGCTTGCCTGTTAAATATTTTTATCACATTACTAGAAGTCGCATGGGACTTTCTATTCCATTTTGCAATCTACGTGACCCAAAATATTGCCAACATTGAGAAAATGTTTCCATTAATATAAACAATGGGTGCGTTTGGCAGAAAAAAGCACTAGCAAGCGCTTGTAAGCAAAATGGCGATCGTAAGCGGTAAGCGCTATCAAATCGTAAGTAGCTGTTTTCCCCCAGGACACGATGTTAGTTTTAACCAGGGAACCTAACCTAATTTAAATATATGTTTGTGAAGTATTCATATTAAAAACTTACCAATCATGAATTTTTAATAACATGTATATGTCTATTCATGTCATTATATTACTTAAAACTAATATTGCAAAAAACAACTTAAAAACTCTACTTCAAAACAAACAAATTAAATAAGCAAAATGGCGGATTGTGTCAGCGCTACTGAAGTAGCAATCGTGTCCTGGCCGAAAACTATTTTAGCGCTAGTAAGCGCTTGCTAGCGCTTTTTTCTGCCAAACGCACCCATTATATTTTATTTTTAAAATTGTACGACAATTTTATATGCTTATTACAGAAATTAGACACGTATATCAGTTAATATATACACATAGTATAACTAATCGTTAATAACAATTTTATTTGTTGAACTTTATTTAATACTAATTAGTTCCTTATTTAATGTTAGTTATAACTATCTGTGTTTTTATTTCTTTTGGGGTTTTATAAAATATTAGATGTAGTTGGATCCGAAACAGATACAAAATGGCTATTTTTGTAAATAAAGTTTTACTTAAATTATGTCATAGATAAAATATATCCAGTAGGTAGTTTTCCATGTACAATAAAATGTTAGAATACTTACATGAGTACGATGTAGAGTTGATTAGTTAGAATTTATACAAAATGATAGTTCTAGAATGGATTGAAATGTAGGGATTTCAATAACTGTATTATAGCCCTTCGTATAAAATAAATATAGACCTCATAGACGTTGTGTGTTAACACTCTTGTATTGCATAAGGACATGCCCATTTCCATCTCATTCATATTAAATAAATTGCTTTTCACTATGGGAGAATTTATTATCTGCCTGCGGCGCTTTCTGCAAACACAAAGCTTATTAAAAACCTATATCATTATAAATATTGTATATCTTCTTTGTTTTGTTACGATCCCTAACTAGTTTGTTCATTTTCAATGCATGTCCGCTTAGAACGTGATATCCAGTGGCCATAAAATATTTTTTGTAATAATAATTTTAATCATAAGTATCTTTGATACGTTGTTTGTAATGTTGAACAGTTTTCATTTTCATTGTTACCGATGAATTTACGTCGCCATTGCTTATTCGAGAATACAATAGCAATTGATACAAACCTTTCCATAATTGATAGTTCATTCGACACTAACGTGAGATGTACCTATATATTAATTACATTTGTTTAACGTAGTGTACAATGAAATGTTTTAAGCTTTATACTGTAAATATCTGTAATAGAGATCTGTGTTTCTAAACAGTCTTCTTTGATACCTAACAACTCGTATTTAGAAATTTTGTAACTACCTATCTATTATTTAAAAAGAGATAAATGCGCCGTCACTCTAACTTCTTATAAATATTTTGTTATTTTTATATTGCTAGAATATGAAGGTGCTAAATAAGAAATTCGTAAAGCCAACTGTATATTTTACAACGTCGCAGAGTGGGGTCTTTTAAGAATGATTAATTTGGTTCTGAACTAGTCAAAATTTTTCTTTGAGTGGCGGCAAAGGGGGCATATGAAACAATGTTTTACAATATTATTTTGCGGCAATATGTTAATGGCTGCTTAACATCGTCTTATTTTAGTTCAGTTCTTATTTGAATAAAATATTTGTAATATTTCATTGGCTTATTTATTCAGCCCTTATCATTTTCTTTTGTGTTATATATGTCTACACTAATATTATAAAGAGGAAAAATTTGTTTGTATTGAATAGGCTCTAAAACTACTGAACCGATTTGAAAAATTCCTTCACCAAGGGAATCCTACATTATCCCTGATGAACATAGGCTATAGTATATTTTTAAAAAGTTAGGGATCCGTGTAAAAACTTCGTTAATGTAACCCACGGCGTGTAAAAAATACCAAAAGAATCCTTATATTGCATACGCTGCGGAAACTATTGACAATAGAGCAAAGAGATGTACTACAGTTTTATAGAATATATCGTTATCTACTCGTACATAACCATATGTCTAACTATTAGAGTTATGTCAAAATAACTACTTTTTCATGTTGAATTATGCAATAGTAACGCCGAAAAATCCTTATATCGCGTACGCTGCGGAAACTATTGACAATAGAGCAAAGTGTAGTACTACATTTTTATAGAATAAATCAATATCTACAAAAAAGTCCGCCATACCATATGTCTAACTATTACGGTTATGTCACAATAACTACTTTTTTATGTTAAAATATGCAAAGCTCCCCCCCCCCCCCCCCCCGAGTATGTGCAATGGGATGAGGCTACTTATTAAGGTAATGAAGGAAAATTAACTGTAGCGACCATCATCACCGGCCTATCAGCTGGTCAATTTCCTCATATACCGAAGATATTTTGCTGTCACAAAATAAAACAACATCAAATATAGTTTACAGGTAAGCTCTGAACTAATGTTTAATGTTTTGTAGATATGATCTTTTTACAAATAATTAAATAATATATCTAATAAAATAAAATTATCAAAATTAAAAAAGAACAAATAAATAAGTAAAAAATATTAACAAAAAATTATCCCCTATACCTTAATATTATGAAGAAGAAAGATTTTTTTGTTTGCTTGTACCAAATAAGCTCCAAAACTACTAGACCGATTTTAATAATTTTTTACCAATAGAAAGCTAAACTATCACAAAGTAACATTGGCTATAATTTACTTTCAAAAAAATTGGAGATCTCTAAGAACATTGTAACCCAAAGTAGCAAAATTTTGTGTTTCATTATTTGGCGTGCGCTGAGAAAAGTTGATGATATATAGAAATTATTTGCTACGTGCTTAAAGTACTCATTATTACCTCCAAAAAAGTCCGCGTAAGAAATATTTACCATATGTATGTACCATAATTAAGTCACAATAGTAGCTGTTGTGTTCTAAAATTGAATTAGTTCACCAGCCGAAACAAAAGTCGGTTACAGTCGTATCGTAGTATTAATTCTTATTCAAATAAATAGTTTTATCATAATGAAAGATTTAAGAAATAATTTGTACGTCTTTTTAAAGAGCATATTCTATTCTTTACTATAGTCATACATATTTTGGCGGTAAAGTTGGAAATTTTAATATATCTAAACTTTGAGCAAAAAAAATCGATTAAAGATAAGAAATGTTCATATTTTGTGGCAGATTACACAAAAACTATATATGACATCGATTTCGTATTTGTAAAAGGTTGACAGAAAATTCATCATGGATCATTTTATACCTCCACACTTTTCATGTACCGTGTACAGCTATCTTTAAAACTGAAAAAAAAACCGCGTTTTGGGGCACTTTCTGGGGCATTCATCCGGGAGGGAGAGAGAGTGGATAAAATTTAACTTTGCTGTATAACATACATATGCCGATAGAATAAAAGTACTACATTTATTTTGCAAATTTTTAGCCAAAATGATTGAACTAAATGAGCGAGGTGTCATGTTATGTCTCACGGCGCTGACACGTGATATACGCGGGTGAAACCGTGGGGCACAGATATATAAAATATTTTTAAAACAAAAACAATTTTTATAATTTTTGTGTCTGTTTTTCTGTTTGTTCCGGATAATCTCCAAAATAGCTGAACCAATTTTGTCAGGACTTTCACTGGCAGATAGCTGATGTTATAAGGAGTAACTTAGTCTTATTTTTATTTTAGAAAAAGAATTGGGGTCATTCGCAAAAAATTCAAATACATGGAATTCAATCTTAATAAATTTCACACGAACGAAGTCGCGGGGAACAGCTAGTATAAAGCTATTTTATATAGCTATTTTAAAAGTAATCCGCCTTAAGCTATGTACCAGTTTTTCAAACAACAACCCTCACAAGCACTTCATCTGTAACTTTGTAGTCACAGAGTGGAATAGGCTGCCAGAGAACGTAGTCTCAGCCCAAAATGTGAACCAATAGAAAAAAATAGATAATCTGAAAATGGACAGCAAAAGGAGTAACTAGTGGGCACAAACAAGATACAGATATGATCAGTTGTCTCAACTGCCTGCCTGTTAATATATAATAATAATAATAATAACAAGTGAAAGCCGAAACAAATAAGCAAACAAAATATCTGGTCTGGCTCACGAAGTGACGGGGTGGTCTGCCGACCGAATTATTCATGTAGTCGTCTCTGCGAAGGGGCTAATCCCAGTCAGCCTCTCGGGTCATCTGAGGCGACTGGAACTCCGTGACGGACCGCTCCGGGCTCAAATGCAGAAGGCGGTGCTCCTCGATACCACCCGCATTATCCGCCGGTTTCTTTCCCATTCCCCCTAACCCTCGGCCGTTTGACCTCCCCTGCCGAGGGCTTCCATCTAGTTGA